AAAGTTAAATCTAACCTGAATCTTCATTCCTTTTTATTTTGTCTGTAATTTCAATCAAGCTAGCCAGTGAACTTTTTTCTTTTATTTTATTCTTTTCCCGATGGAATATTTCAATGCACTATTGTCTAGAACATTATTGCACTCTACCTTTTGATAGGAGAAGCTTATAAATCAATTATGTATTTTTAAATTATAATACATGCTCGACTCTTTATTTTCATTATCTATTTTATAATATTATAGAGTATAATAAAAAGTAATTAGTAACCATAATACAATAATTGAAAATTCATTATTTTTAACTCCTAACTATTTGAATCTAACAAAACTTATAATTGAATTTATTACAAAAACTTACTCTAAAATCTTTAGTTACTTGAATTTATCATGGTAATTACCTTTCCTTACTATATTATTTCTTATGAGTAGACAAGAAATTATTACCATCGAGAGTTGATGATAGGTTAAGCATAGTCTTTGCATGACCAAGGGATACATACATACATACATACACATATATATATAATGTTTACCATAATCATAGTTTCTGAAATTGGCCTTGTAGAAACCAGGCGAAAATCCTGTTCTTTGGTGAAGGAATATTCCACGTTGTCTTGACTTTCATGCATAAAAAACCCAATGAAGCTGTATATGTATATACTTATAAAAGCAATATATATATATATATATATAGAGAGAGAGAGAGAGAGAGAGAGAGAGAGAGATGGTGATTGGTCACGTGGGTAGGGAGGGTGAGTTAAAATCAAAAAAAGGAAATGTACTTGGGGTGTGTGTACTCATAATTGGTGCTGCGTAAAAGAGTAGACAACTTTAAGAGACAGATTCATCAATATGACATTCATGTCCCTCCCATTAACCCCCCACGCCAACCCTCTTCAATCATCAATCACCTCCATTATTATTTATTTTTCTAAAACCATACATTAATTATTATTTATAACTTACAACACCCACCAAATTTATATAACACATTTTCACACATAAATCAAGTTAATCATATATATATATATATGTGTGTGTGTGTGTATATATATATATATATATATATACTCCTTTCCCTTCTTTTCTTTCTTTGATCTTTCTTCTTTAGAAAAAAACAAAAAAAAGAATAATAAACCATGGCCAAACATATCCCAAAATTTAAAGTGATTAGATTTGTGTTATTTCTAAATATAATTAATATAATAGTTGAATTTTTATTTGTAACTCAATGTGAAAATTTTGTACTTAATTTATAGTATTTATTAGACATTGTATATATTTTGAAAGGAGACAAAAAAATTCAGCAATAATAAATTAGATATTGTGCATTAAATGGATGTGCTTTAATTACTTGAACATTTAATAGGAATGAAAAAGTATAGTAATAATAGAATTCATTTTATTGTGTTCAATTAAATTAAAATATAACATATATAATCAACTTTTAGATATTCTTATTATAAACACATTCAATTGCATCTTATATTATAATCATAACTATATATCATTAAAGAGCTTAAATTATTTGTTATGTCTGAATTTTTCTATTTATATTTAACACTGTTTAAGTTTTTTAATTTCAAATTGATTATGTAAAGTATATTAAAATTTCAATTTATCTCATTCACAATTTCTTACAAAATAAGAGATGTACCAGCTATTCAATACAATTTTTTTTTTAATAACACTTATATAAATTACAATAACTTATAATCATATAATTGAAAAAAAAAAAAAAGAAGAAGACAACAAAAGCACCACAACTTATAAGCATAAAATTATGATACATATAACAGAAATAAATAAATAAATAATTTAGGCCCCAATTCCAAAAATAAATATTGAGGCATATACAATAGCAAAAAGGAGATCATAAAGTGGGGAAAATAAATATGGGGTATGATGATTCATAATTAAGCATAGTAGTAATTCCTTTCTATCTTTTAATATGATTGTTTTCATCCTCTAAAAAATTGATTAACACAAATGACACCTTTGATTTTAGGGGACCAGAAAATTAAGAAAAGAAGAACCCATAACCTAATTTTTTTTTTTTTTGACAAAGTTAAGAAAATTCCCCAAAGAGATGAGAAAAATTAATTGAGCTAGCTAACATATAATTTTCCCTTTTGTGAGTCTAAAAGCCTGCCTATGTACAAACAAAAAGATAAGAGACCCAACATGATCATGATCATCACCAATAATTTTGAGAAAAAAAGAAGAAATTTTTTAATTCTCTATATTTTTAACATGAATGTTGTTATGATCATCTCTTGAAGTAGGAATTATGGAGGTATTAGTAGAGGTTGGTTGAGGAAATGGGTAATTAGCAGAAGCCAACCTTGAGGGCCTGTTGATGAATGTTGCAGCAGAAGGTGAAGAGTCAGTAGTGGGATTATTGGTAGCAACTCTCTCACAAGAAGGACACATGGTTAGGGTTGTTGCTGGTAATTGCATGTAGAATGGACTTGATGTCTTTAAAGCTCTAAGTTCTTGAAGCTCCTTTTGTAATCTTCTGTTTTCTTCTGTCAGTGTCTCACAACATCTCTTCAAGTATTCACAATCTACTTCTGTTTGCTTCAGCTTTGTCCTGATCACCATTTTAAACAACACATATATACGTATATAAACGAAAAGGAATCCAAACATCCATTTACTTTATCTTCAACAAAAGAAATTCCTAATCTTTAAGATACATATGTTAAAGAAGTTTAATTTACTAATTACCTTGCTCTTCTGTTCTGGAACCAAACTTCTACTTGTCTTGGCCGGAGATTAAGCTGCTTGGCAAGTGCAAGCTTTTGTTTCTGCAGATGAATATATAACCAAAATATCATCAAAAAAACCAAAAAGTAACAACAACCACCCAGATGAAAACTGATACTAAAAACAAAAGGGTATCTCTTATATATGCAAGTAAGTACATATGTATATATAGATATACTTACAGGATTGAGAGTATTGTGTTCTTTGAAACTTTCTTCGAGAAAAGCAGACTGTTCCTTGGAGAGCCTGAGTTTCTTCCTGGTGCTACCATTCTCATCTTCATCACTCCCTCCTCTTGAAGAAGCTCTGGATCTGTCGAGTTGGTCATGATGATGACCATCTTTAAGGTTACCGCCGCCCCCACTGTAAATGCAGAAATCTATCTGCAACGACGACGCAGAGCCACTGTTCGGCGACGAGGAAACCGCTGCACCATCCTCGTTATTATTTCTCTGATCTTGATCAATCAAATTATTATTAGTATTATTTGGGGCTCTGTTCACATCAAATCCCCTCAGACAACCCACCATCATCTGCCGGCCGGGAGAATCTGCCTCCGAACTCCCTGTTTTTACAACACAAAAACACAATTAGAAACACCGTTGAAAACCAACAAGCCGGGAAATCATTTGAGTCTTACCATTTGCAGAAGATGGATCAAAAGGGAGGACTGGAGTGTTTGGCAGGAGATCAAGCTGGACAGGTTCGTGATGATCAGTACCATACAAAGCTTCAGAAATCGTACTTCTCCTTGCTTTCTTTGGTGCTGTAGTATCATTTTGATCAATACTGTCATCATCATCGTCAGCCTGATCATCACCATCTTCATGTCGTTGATCTTCTTGGTGTTGCTGTGGAGGAGAAGGAGGCGGAGAGGTAGTTGTGGTTGAGCCAATAGACAAGCCCATGCAAAACCCTAAATCTTTCTGATGATCGGCTCTGTCCATGAACCCTAATGCCGCTGGCTTTGCCGTCTCTCCTAAACTCAACCCAAGCTCCATATCTCTCTTCTCTTTTTCTTTGCATATATTTTAACTTTTCTTTTCTTTTTTCCTTTCCGGTTTATAGAGAAGAAAAGGTATAGAAAGTGGATTTTATAGAGAGAAAAGTTGTGAATTTGTTTCTGTAGCCACCATCAAATCATATTACTGCAGACCCAAACACACCCTTGATTGGAAATTTTCTTTTTTTTCTTTATATAATTATATTTAATCAATTTTTACAGAATTAAATATATTTTTTAGTAGGAGATCAGTTTGACCAACAAATTCAGGTTGACACACGTGAAAGTGAATCTCTAAGTTTATGCACACACAATTTTGGGCTTCAAAAAAATAAATTTTTGTTTTATTTTG